AATTAAAATTTTACTTTCTAGCATGAATAAGCAATTTCAGATACCTCACTAGACTAGCAAAGCTAGTACAGCATTGTAACTAAAACATTTATGTTCTGCTGTCAATGTCTCCTATGTAAGGAACAAACCAAGCGCAAGCATTCTTCTCAAACCCTTTGAAGATTGGTGTTATTAAAATTGCCAGAAATAGATCAGCAAAAAAGATTTGGTTAAAGAAAAAAGAACTGAAGAGACTTTTCTGAATCAGTAAGTCTAGCTTGCTGTTCCTGAAGGCAGCCACACCATAATATAATTTATAAACCCACCAAATACTTGAAAAACTCTAAGAAAAGCCTTGTGCAAATTTTGAATGGGAATTGTGGATATAGTGGATCTGTGGTGAATATTGTAATATTAAGAATTTATTACAGAGCAGGATAAAGATCAACATTTATCACACCAGTCAAGGTTTCCACTGTAAGACATTTTGTAGTTTATAAATTATCGCATGACTTTCTGTACTATCAGTGAAATAATAGCCCCAAATACCAACATATAATACACAAATGTAATACAGAAGTAGATATAAACCCCAATTAGGGCCCACATTTAAATACTAAAATACCATGCTACATCATAAACATAGAGCTATAAGCAAAGTATTTCCCCTTTCATATACAGGTTGCTTCAGTGTACTGCAATTTAAGTTTTGGTTTGGTTTTTTTTTTTTTTTTTTTTTTGTCATATTACATCATGACCCATTCTTTTACAGCCTTGTAATAATCTATTACTCAAAGCTTTTTTCCTTGATAGAAAACTCCCACTCCACAGTTTAAAACCCTGTTTGGTATCATATCATATCTGTGGCAGATTTCACTTCGTTGAAGCTATTTAATAAAAACGTTAAATTTAAAAACCTCAATCTGAAGGTATGATAGAGAAGCTAAATTCAGTTTTACAGTTGAAAAATCCTTTTGTAGCATCACCATCTAGTGGCCAACCTTGGTAGCAAGGCCTTGCTTCAACTACATCAAAGTCAATTCAGCTTCATCCCATTTTATTTCATAACTCAAGAAACCTCACATTGTAATAACAAGTTTCTATGAGGAACTTGGAAACCTCAAACCGAAGAAATTCTGATACAAAACTCTGATTACTTTTTTGAAAGTATTCTTTAAAATGTTTGGGACAGAATATTTGTGAAGGATTTGAAGTTTGACCATTTTTATTATCTCGTCATGATTCTCTACCATTAAACAATTAAAAAAAAAAAAAAGGCTGTTTTACAGAATTAGCATTCCACTTTCCACAGTATTAAACATGGAATAGAAGACACTAAATCTCCTGGGTCAAGCTTACTTCTTTGATGTTTGAGACATAGAAAGTATCCTAACAAGGCAAAACCTATAAGCCCTGTCTCATGTTTAAACTTTGTAACCATACAGCTAGTATCAGTTATTTCATGCTAGTTGCAAACATGCAATATCTTAACCCACCCTGAATCTGAGGTAGCCCACCCCCCTGACAAGAAGGTAAATCACCTTTGGGTTACTACAGTCTTTAATGTGGAACATTTGATAAATAGTCGTCACATGCTCATCCTCTAATAATTTGGGACACACATTTGTCATTTTGGTAGTTGAAAGCTGCTCTTTGAAAAGCATCCAGCTGTCCAAGGAAGTTGTAAAAGCAGTTTTAGGTCCTAGAAAATTTGAAACCTTCTCTCAAGAACAAAATGTAAATAGTTGAAACCAGGCATCTCCCTTTTTCACTGTCTTCTATTTATGTTCTGTATTACTGCTCTAGACTACAGAGGGCTTGCTATAAAAGCAGCTATTACTCAAAATCTGATTCTACTGCCCTCTGCAGCATTTCTTGAAAAGCTGCATACGATCATAAAACCATTGTCTACATTTGTTCTTCAAACTAGTAACTCTGCATTTGAAATTTCAAGCGTATTTAATGTTTATATTTAAAGAAAAAAAAAAACACACAAAACCAAGTTCTCTTATTATTTTCTTAGAGTAATAAACACAACATCCTCTATTACACTTAGTTTCTTTAAGCAAATGTACTACTGGACAAAGCTAATCAAGATCTTGTATATTAGCCAAGACCTGGTGGCCTACACAGTGCATCAAGCCAACCTACCAAATAAATTACACAAAGTACTCTTAACTTGGAGCTGCTGTTGCTAAACTGATCTTCAGCGTGAGCTATGCCAAAACTATGAATGTCTTGCAGATCAGGCCAAAAGAAGAGAGCACCAGCTATGTTAATAATACAATAGCAACCTTGGCTTTTTTCTGACATACTCAAGTTGAAGTTTTAACAGCATTTATTCCAGTAACTTTAACAAACAATCTCCTAACCAAAAAGAAATTTTGTGAGATCAAAGGCATTTTACTCTTAAAGGTCCCCTAAAGATTCTCAAGGCCTATGAAACTATGGATGCACCCCTCTCTCCAAATACCCTAAGACCTCAGACTCTGATTATGAACGATTTATGCAAAGAAGTTAACTTCTTTAGGAGAGAAACACGTCAGCAGCCAACAAGTTCCACAAAATGCTGGTAAACAACTGAAACCTGGAACACCTCCCCCAGTTTTCAGATGAATAAAGCTCAGAGAAATTTCAGTTCTATCATACATTGCTTTGAAATTAACAGTCACCTGAAAATAATAAGATTCATGGTATAAATGGTAATATGACTTGCACAATGATATTTCTCTTGCACACATTCTTTCCCATTAAGTGGTGATTTCCCAGCACTCAGCAATTTGAAAAAGAGAATAGCAATCCTCCTCAGAGATCTAAGATACACAGTATTTTGGAAAGGCCCCACCATATTTTGTAATTATACATACACACTGTTTAACTCTATTTCCAGGATAGTTTAAATGAGATACGTTTTTTTTCTTCCAGAGCAGTGCAGCAGAGTTGTATATTCACCCCAAGAAAACTAAAACATATTCAGCTTAGATCACATCTGAGCAGAGGAAGACAGAGTACAATCATTCATATCTATTTCTGTGAAACTGTACTGGGTTTTACATCAGTGTCTTTACAGAAAGTTACAGTAGTTAGATAAACCTCAATTAAAACAGGTAATACAGGCTCTCATATAACACTCTAAACACAAGCCTCACTTGTCTGTGGAGACTGCCTGGTAGGATCTCTGTAAGGTAGATATCACACACTGTAGAGAGGTAAAAAATTAAATCATTTTCCACAGAATGTTAATATTGCCAATATCAAATCCTCATTTCTGTATTTCTGTAGTTGGCTATTTGCAAAAGTAATATGACAGAGTCAAACACAGGAGCTATTCTGAGTAGTCTGGTTTCCGTTAGATCCAGGCAGCCAGAAAGAAACCAAGGTAATTACAGCACTGAACAGCCTCAAGCACAATTAAATAACACTTAGTTCCAAGAAATAGATTTCTCAGTCTCACATACCTATCCTAGAATTTTATTTTTTATTTCTATGAGTTTCTGGACTGTTAAATGCATTATACTTGATCACCCACCACAGACAGTTTTACTGTTTGCCTCTGCCTTTTTGATCCCTTCATGCTTTTTGAAATGGAAGACTAACTGCGCTACTAATTAGGAAAAGCTTGTCAATAAACAGAGTTGACCAAGTCCCCAGAGGCAGAGGATTTTCATTTTTTTCTTTTTTTAGTTCTAATGGATGCACATAGAATGTGTTGTGTTACTTTCTGAATATCAATAAATTCAGGGAATTAGACATGTCAGAGTGTGTTACTGTGTGTCTACTTTTATAAGCAACAGAAGATTGAGGTCCTACCCATTCTCAAAATGAAAGTTTTGACATATTAGCATTCTTAGAAGGCTCTTCAGAGGTCAATATAGCCCACTTTACAAAGATTATTCATTAGGACCTAAAGAATTCAGCTTGTCTAGCTCCTGGAGACTACTGGAGACACACAGAGAGTTCATTATGGAGTTATAAGTAAAAATTAAATAACAGTGTTCAATACTAACGTACACATTTTTAAAGCCTTAGAAATGCTAGAACACAATTACTAAACACTCCTCCAATACAGCTGGTTCCTCTATAGAATCCTTACAAGTCAATTATAAAGAGCTGATATAGTCAACAAGATTTTTCTTCATAATAAAAAAAAAAAAATTTGGAAATGTAACTAGATTCAAAACAACTTTTTTCTTAGAATACAGTGGCATCTGTTATAGTACACTGCCATTTCCGTCACAAAGGACATTACCACACACGAACAATTCATGCTAAAAGTACCAGGCTATAGGCCTACCATAATGTAAGCCCATCTCATCATTCTAAAGCCCATATACTCCACAATATCAAATAATTTCTCCATTTTTTCATCAAAACAAGCCATAAAGGCTCAGTTTAGTCTGCATTTAGTCTGGTACACTAAAATACTATGCTATTCAGAAAATTATTAAGCTACATCTCCCTGCTAACCCAGTAAAGAAAATTATCTGCTACAACCTATTCTAAAATGTCACACTCAGTTTGTCCTCTTAATTTTTAATTCTGTCTTGAAGTTACTAAAGCTGTCTTGAGAATAATGGTACTGTATGCTGAAAAACTCTTAACATATATACATATTACATCCAGCTTATGACATTTTCCACATAGGTCCTCAACTGAAATATTTACTAGAAACCAACTCAGAATTGATTCTACAAGATGCTGATAGAAAACCCAAAATGTAACTGACAGCAGTAACTACAGTGCCCCTCAAAACTATACCTGAGATCTTAAGTTACCTACATTTGTTATCTGGACATTTTACTATCATTCATGTTTAGTCAGAATGTGTAGAAGTCAGTCAATGCCTTAACATCTACAGAGTTAGTTTTACAAATGAGTAGTTCCATATTTAAAAAAAAAAAAAAAAAAAAAAAAAAAAATCAAACCAGAAGCAGATGTATCACTTGCATTTTTTTCCCCAAAAAAATATATCCCCAAAGAATATATCAAAACAGTTCACTTATAATTTTTTTAATGCCTACCTTTACTGGTGAAATATGAGAATGGGAAACAAAGCCATGGACATTCTCAATCTGTGACAGATTCTTCTCCGATACATGAACCAGCTCTGGACCCGTCACCTCATTGGTAATGTGTGGAGAGCTGTGCTCCTGTGGAGGTGTATCTTCATCCTGGTAGCGATATTTCTGAAGAAAACAATTACAGAAAAAGATCAGTCCACCACAGAAATTGGAAAAGTTTATCCAGAACACCTAAGTCAGACAGAGTTATTTTTCTGCCCCTGCTGACTTCAAGGCAATAAAATCTAGAAATACAAGTTTTAATTAGTATTTTTAGTTTAAAGACTGATCCTGTCTAAAAATGTTCCAGACTTTTTAGTCTCACCTAGAACTACCGTAAAAGCTACCTCATTGTCTTTTGCCTATTTGCATAGAGTAACATGTCACAAAACCCTTTTCCACAGAACTCTCCCATTTACTAGCTTTTTCTTACAAGCACTTTATTATTCACTAATAGCAGAAATCCTCAGTACCAACTGGATTTATCACCTTGTCCTGCCTTTAAAAACTATCAGCTTCAAAAGCTTTTTTCCCATACTTCCAGTTTAGCACATCTGCCAAAAGCATTTTTTGTCAGCTAAAGAGCTTCAGATTTTATACTGAGGTACCAATATAGCAATTCACTACTGCTAACTTCAGTATGAAACAATAAAATGTGGTTTTGCCACTAGACAGATTAAGTTTCCCCAACCAGTAAGTCTTCAAACAGAAACACAAGACAATACGCAGTCTCCATCTTATTAATTTGCATTCAATTTACAAAACCAGAACCTATTACTTAGCCACCAGGCATGTGTTCTAGTCAGACTGTGCTATAGCCACACCTGCATATCCCTACTGAAAGGTATTCATTAAATCAGGAGCATATAGAGTATTCATCTGTTCTCCAGACTGCAGAGTTAACTGCTCATCCAGCACCTCCAAAGTCCACGGGCTCACATTACAAACATACTTAATATAAGCTTCACCCCAGTTTCACACTTGCAGTCTTGCTCCACCCCAGTTTCACCCTTGCAGTCTCAACCAGTCCTGAGGCACTTTTAGTTTTAGCTAGCAATAAAAAGCATGGACTACCTAAAATTGAAGTAACTTTTTTCCAGCAGGGTTTACTGTGTCCATAAGATGAATCCTAACATTTTATAACCACATTCACATTCACACACTACTAGTATACTCCAGAGCACATGCATAGCTGTTACTAGTTTTCAGGGAAAGCACATCATGTCATTAGAGGCACAGAAAAACCTTCTACACATGTAATCCTTCTAAACTTGGAAAAGTGCTATTCCTATTATTAAAGTATATTTAGGATAGATATTTCCTTGTTGATTTTTGTTTGGTTGTTTTTTTAACAGAATTCTAAGATATACATACTACTGTTTAAGTAGAAAATAATCATCATCTTGGAAGGTCATTTATACCTCATAATCCAGTAGATCACTGCAAATAACCCATCTATCTATAAGCACATGAATACTACACCAAGGCAGGTACCTGATGAACAGTGTATGATAACTAACCCTTTTAACAGTTACATGCAAGTATGATTTTGGGCTACTACAAGGTTCCATTCCCTTCACAGAAAAGTCTGGCAATATTACCAAATTATAAAGTCTACAGGATAAACTATAAAGAACCTGCTTGAAATGATCCATCAGTTACAAGTTCCTGTAATGCTTAACCCATCTGGCTCCTGCCCGCTCAACTCTGTGTGCTTGTCTTACAGGAAGACTTAATTTTTTGTCTATCCAGCAAAAAACAATCTCTAAGTATGGTCAAACAGGACAGCTAAACTCTTAACAGGAATATCTTACTCTTCCCTGGCTCCCAAATCTTGAGGAAGGCACCATATCCCCTTCCTTTCCTTGGTTCTGGCACTCAAATCAGCAGAAAATTGCACACTGTTTTCTCTCCTTTGTAGGGTGAGACTTGTACTGGGTTACTGACCTCAGTTCAGGCAGGGCTCAAAGAATACCAGAGACAGTGCAAAAGCAGGGAGGAAATCTGGATGGGATCTCTCTCTTTTGGAAGCTATACATCATTCTACTCTGTCTTCTGTAGGCTTATCGTATAGCAATATTGTAGTTTTGCCAGTAAAGACGTGGTTCAATGAGGCAGCTGAAGTCACATAACTGACGTGTTGAGAGAGGAAGGATTTGTTTGCTCTTCTCCATGTGCCACATTGTTCTGCCAACACTAAGATTCCTTTGGAGACAAGTTAAGTTCCCTTACCAACTTCGAAGGAACAACTTGCAGTTGTTATGTTTCCATCACCCATCGCACTTTACCCACTCACAGCCTGCCCTGCAGCACACCATCCCCACTCCTGCCTCCAAGCCCCAACGCAACAGCAGCAAACCCACACCCAATCACACACATACAGGCAGATACTAGGGATGCATGGGTTTTTTCGGCCTCTAACTGCTGTCAGAGATCTCTGAAGTTATAAGCCTTATTTATTTTTGTTCTTAAAAGAATAAAATTTTAAAAACCCTTATCCACCCTACTCAATTCAACCCTTCATTGTTGAGACCATGAGACCTACTATATGAGAAAAGTTACATTTTTGAAGTATTAGAAATTACAAAGTAGAAGCAATACAAGTGTGTATTTTCACTAAAAATATCGATGATTAGCAGACAAACACAAGGCAGAAGAAATAATTCCAGAGAGGAAAGCAAGACCATTAAGACTTCTATTTTTCACAACAACCAACCTCCTAACACTTCCATACCTACTTCTCACCTGGATGGCAAAGGAGAGATGGTGAATGCTGATAGTTGTGAAAAACTGCAATGGTTACTCAAAAAGCCCTAATTTTTCAAATCTTTAGCAAAGAGGTTTCATGAGATGAACAAGCCAACTTAATAGACCATTATTAGCAGAAGATAAAAGTTTCTTTCCCTTCCCTGCAGCAGTGAGATGCTACATCGCTCACGCTCCAACTCCTACCATTCAACTATTTTCTGAGATTGACTTGTTTTTAACTTATCAAAACAAAACCCTGGAAGGAGTTGATATTAACCCTCTAGAGGTGCCATGTTAAACATCAGAAACAGGGAAGAAGTATCCTTTAAAGAACAATGTTGGTCAAAAATACAAGTGAACATTATCAGAGCGTAAATAAAATCACACTGGAAATTAGAGAAAATAAACATTAGAGCTTCAAGAAGCACAGAAAATATCTTGCATCAGAGAAAGTAGAAATTCTGCTAGCTTAAAGGAGCTTGCTCTGCTGGTAAAAGCAGTATTTGGCTGGACTTATGATCCAAACTGTTGCTGCCAGATCTCAAGCTTCAATTTGACTATGAAATACAGGAAAATGGGAACTGAAAATGGATTAAGTTCCCAGATCATCTCAGACAAGACCCTGTGGAAAGCTAGAAGTGGACCATTCCAGTTTTATTATAAAAAAAAAAAAAAGTCACGGGTCAATTAAAATTAACTCCCTTTACAGAACTGTCAATACTTTCAGGCAAAGCACAGAATTACCTCTGGTTTTTTTTTTCTTTCTTAAGCCAGACACATTTGTTAGAAACAGGTATTTGGACATGCCTGAGTGTAAACAGGCTCTAGATTTCATTAATAAACATCTGTTTATATTACACAATGCATCCGTGCTTATAACAATATCATGTGTATGAAGTTTTAACAGATCAGTATGTCATTATTTAGAACAAAAATGAAAAAAAAAAATGTTGTGGTAAAGGATTCTCTCCCATACAAGGCACTGACAAGGGCTATAAGCTTCTCAAAAAACATCTTAAACGTGAACTGCTAATTGTGTTTTTATGTATATTAAAAGATTGACTTTACTATTATTTGCAAAGTATTTCTCAGCTTGGAAGTACAAAAAAACCCACAACCCACCAGAACTCATGTTTAAAATACACCTACTGAAATACTTACAGGATAATGTTTTAAAATGCAAACAGAAGGACATGACGTGCACGAAAATATAATATCCACAAGTCATCTTATTCTGAAAGGCACCACACTATCCTTACCCTCCGCAGAAATTACTTTTGAGCAAAGTGCTTGAAGTAAAGCAAATGACTGTATCTTAACAGCTAATACTCCATAGAAGTGGTTTGTACTACTGCACTATGGAGCATCACCTCTGAAATACTATGCACCCGACTGAGGTAGCGCATTCAAGTGATCTGGCATGGTCAAAGAGCCACCATTCAAAATTGCTCATTCCTTTCCTCTCCCAGGAGCTGCCACTCCTCGAAAAAGAATTCCATTGTCTATTTCAGCCATGCCAATTTAATCATGCTACTATATATGAAGTGAAAACCCATGTAAGTTAGCCTCCATAGGAGTCTAAAGATACCATTTCACAACAGAGCCTAGCTCACCCAAAGGGCAGCTACTGTCCAAAGGAGCAGGACCCCTTCGATCCCGCATGGTGAAGCCGTACAACTACGTGTCTCCCTGCCCCTTGCTGCTAACTACACATCTCCCTTTAGATGGTGAGCAAGCTCAGCAAGCTAATCCAGTAGAATGTTTGTCCCCTTTTCCAGCAATATTAAATTTTCTTAAATCCCCTAAGGTGTCTCACAAGATGAGACATGCAGCAGTGCTGGCGTCACAGGGAGAAAAGCAGATAGGGCCAACACATCTCACAGTGGCTAGCAGAAGACCATTTCTCTTCTTACAAGCAAGAGATTCCAACCCTGCCCCAAATCCAGGCCCCAAGGAGACCCTAGTTCAGAAGAGCCAGCCAAGCAACGGGCAAGACAAATCAAAGGAAAGAAAAATGATTCAGCTGTGGCAAAGCAGCTCTGAACTTGCAGACAGACTGCTTCAGCTACGTGTCTCGGAAGTTTCCTGGCACTCAATTTGGTAGCAGCCAAGCAATTTAACTAGTTTTGAAGAAGCTTTATGGACTGATGTATAATTTATAATCAGAATTTAAAGTTTAGAACAGGTCTGACAGAGACACTGCCCCAAAGGATTCAGTTGCAGGTATATAGGTGGGTCAAAATTAGATTAAAAATATTTCTTTTCTGAGGCAATATAGTTAACAAGATTTCATCAGGCTAGATTATACCTTCAGTGAGTTCTGAACTGTCACCAAACACTACAAACTTTTGTAGTTTACTATACATTTTCTGCGTAAA